TCCCTCTTTGACAGCATTAGGAAACGGGTCCGCAAGAAGACCGACTCTCACTCTCACCGCCACAACAGTCCCCTGTCGTCGCCCATTGCGCCCAAAGCGGTCGACATCGACATCACGTGTTCGCCCGGCAATAGTCTTCCCGATAGGCGGCCCGACATGAGTGCCAACAAAGGCCTCAACACTAACGAGAGCTCCACTTCGACCGCAAACTATCTGAAAATCAGTGCATTTGTCAAATACAACTACGAATCGCAACAATCGGATGAGTTATCTCTAGTCAAGGGCTCCAAAGTGACGGTAATGGAGAAGTCGTCGGACGGCTGGTGGAGGGGAGAGCTGAACGGCGCCGTCGGTTGGTTTCCATCCAATTATGTGTGCGAAGAGAGTTGCGATTCGGTTAACAACGGTTTGGATCCAAATCTAATGCTTTCCAAGAATTCAAAAATAGTGAACGAAATGAATATAGAGAGCAACAGAAGTCGAGTGCCAGTGATGGCCAGCAATGGCAGCACCTCTTCCAACACTAACTGTGTCCTCGATTTAGTGATAGCTTTGTATTCATTTCAGTCACAAAATGAAGAGGAACTCAGTTTTCAAAAGAGTGAAAGACTTGAGATAATAGAGAGACCGGCCAATGACCCCGACTGGTGGAAAGCCCGTAACCAGCACGGGGAGGTCGGACTCGTGCCCAAGAATTATGTACAAGTGGTCACCGACACCATTGATGACAATTTGGATCCATTCAACCTCATGTCTGTCCAAAAAGAGATGCCAAAAGTTGCGGGACTCGGGTCACCGTCTATTCAGTCAAAAACTAGAGTCCCTTTAGTGGCCAAAATGGATGTCAACGATAGGATGTGGTATTTCGGAACCATATCTCGCGGACAATGCGATCATATGCTCAATGAAATGGCAGACGACGGAGACTTCCTCATCAGAGACAGTGAAACCAATGTAAGTCTCGTTTACTTTATTCTGGGTTTCATTTACTTAAATAGCCCTATAATAGGCTTATCATAATAGTCTAGTTAAGCTCTCAAACTAGTCAAACTTATAAGTTTGTTAAATTAATTTTTCTAATACATTTCATAATTTCATGAAATAGTTTGTATTCCTATTTATTAATATAAAAAATTGTTTTACTTTACACTTAACAAAATGATAAAATTACCATTTCATTATGCACTACAGTATTAAGAATATAAATATTTACATCAAGTTATGAATAATTGTCTGTTAAATATTAATATTTCATGTTAGATACGTTGAGTGAGTTATGATTAAATGAAATGAATTGTAAACAACAAACAAGTGATAACTAATGTGTTTATCGATGGATAGGCCGGCGATTACTCGGTGTCCCTGAAGGCGCCGATGAGAAACAAACACTTTCGGGTGCATTACGATGACGGCATTTACTGCATCGGACAGCGAAGGTTCGGCTCATTAGACGAACTCATAGAGCACTACAAGAAGGCCCCCATCTATACCAGTCCTAAAGGCGACAAAATGTTTCTCATTAAACCCTTTGCCAGACCTCAGCTCTAATTAGCACCGGATTATAGTTTGTATTCTAGACGTCAATCTTATAATAATAATACGATATAAATATATATAAATAATTTCATTGACACACATGTGATGCTCTCAAATGACAAATCTTTATATCAATCCTTGCTTTCACTTTTTGCTAATTATTCTATACTTTCTGGAAGTGCTCTTAAATTAATTTTTACTTTTATTGCAACAAATGCATGATTAGAGTTATGAAACATTTTTCAAATATTAATTTTATTTTGTAATTTTGATTTAATTAATATCAAAACTAAAAGCTTAAAACTTATTTTAATTATGGATAGCATACTGTATTTATTAATGAGTTCACTTTACTTTTTAATTTTATACTATTGAACTCAAGTTTGAGTGAATTTATTGCACTAATTATAGGCAGTCTTATTTAAAAATCAAATTTACATCAGATTTACTTATTTATTAAATAGCTATTAAATCTATAGATCAAAATCTGGATTAAACCTAATGTGAGTTTAACTCATACTCTTATACTTGAAGAGTTTATAAAACAATTGTCACTTTATTTCTATTTCAAAAATGGTTTGATTATTTGTACATTTTATGTAATGTTTTCTACAGTATATTTTCTCATTTATTGTTTAGTACAATAGTTTGCGATTCTTTACATCAATTCAATGAATTTATTATTTTTATAAATTATTGTTTTAACTTATTTTTGAATTTATTATTTAATGCCTTTATTTTGATAACCATTGAGACAAGAATCGCATTATAATCACAAATAATAATAACTATCTATTAATACTAACGATTATGAACGATAGCTAATGTTAAAGAATTTCTAAGTCATATGTTTTTTATTTAAGCTGTATTTCAGTTTTCATTTTACCCACAAATTAATACTCAATTATTTTCTAATTGATTGCAGCTTTTGCTTAATATATTAATATAAATGTTTAATATTTAGTTAAGAACACGATTAACATGTATTCGCGATCATATAAACAATCATTGCATTCGTTATTAATATATTAACTGAAACTTATGCTTCTAATGTGTCTGTAAAGCAACTAATTTTAAGTGTAAATTAATATATCGTTTCCATATTTGGCTCAACACTGATCTCTGTCTTTAGAACATTATAATTATTTAAATATATTTCCATTTTATTGATTTGTATTTAACACAACTTAATCATAAAAATATACAAAAGTTAATACATTTAAGTTGATTATAACAATTTATATTATATTATTTAATAACAATTATGTGAGCCTTAGAACTAAAAAATGAATAAAATGATAGCTAAATATTGAAATCGGAAACATTGTCTTCCACTCCTCGGAGGTTATAGTTCTCCCAGAATTGACTCAATCGATCGTTTTTATTGGTGCAAAAGGCCCGGAAGTCTTGCATTATTTTGCGCATTGAGTTCTCATCGCCGGTCACTCCAGTCTTCCATCGCTTTGTGATCATATAATTCCAACACCAGAGGAATCCGATCTGTCAGTCATTCACACATTAATTGCCATTCAATAGGCCGCCCGTCAATGCATACCTTAGCGTCAATGTGAGCCGACTCTCCCGCCTGTTTCGTACCACTGAAGTGACGGGTTATGTACTCCTCGTGAGGACTACAGGCCGTGTCGTTGTTGTCAACCTAATGATGGGTTCAATTGAATGTGTCAATCATATGACTAATACAATGGACTGGCAATTGAAGCAAACCTTTAACAGTTTGCCCCGCTTTCGGACACTCTTATAAGGACTGGAGGCGGGGTTTTTGCTGGGAATCATGACAAATATACTGCCGCTCACGTGCACGAACTGTCTCTGGTTATCAGTAGTGGGGTCGTGGAAAGGGATGAAACCAAACTTCACTAAAATTCTTTCCTGAAAGTTGAACAGCCCTTCACCTGAAATAGTAGTCAAATCCCGTGTCATTCATATCCAACGCCTATAGACCTTACAATACGTTACCTTCAAGTAATTTAGTGGCAATTTTTGGCAAACTATCGATACTGAGTGTGATATATATGGGACCTCTTAATGGATCCGATTTACTCGAAAATGGCAGAGCGAATGGATCGGCAGGTATTGGAACTGAGAAAACAACAAAAGTGTTATGTTTTAAAGTAATTGAGTTATTGGCACTCAAGTCGAACCCAAATGAAGACCAGTCGATGTGGTCTTTCGACTCCAGCCCATCACTATTTCGGAGATGGAGTTTCCGGTTGCGACCATCCACTCGATAATCATCTCAAACGCCTGTTCCGGATCATAAACGCTGTGATACTTAATGTTCACCCACTCTACCCGTCCATTCTTAGAGCCGTCGTCCAAATCCAAAGATGTGTTTTTGAATGTGAAATCTTGAACACGAAATAGTCGTCAAATGAAATGAAATTCTGTTCATGAAATCAATTGTCGAATGACTCATACCTTGCACTTCAGATGCGAGAGAATTGGAATACAGTTCATTAGCAGTGGTATACCAGTGCTCATAGTTTTTGGCTAAATTGCTTTGCGGCACAATTGCTAAAAAAAGTTATTACACAGACGTAAACGTAAACTTCTAAAACTTTTGTTAAACAAAATATTGAAAACAAAGTGAGAATAGACGGGCACTAACCCACTTCCATCCACTCCTTCTCAAACATATGAATGTCATTCTCGTGGCCGAAAGCAGTGATAACACCCGTATCTATAATGCAATATAAATAGAAGCCGTGTTTGAAGGCCTGTGTCTTATCTCCAGACGCGTGACAAATGACACCCGACTCGACCATAGCCTGGAACAGAGATATAGCGATGCCTTCTGTCAATACGCTCTCAATATTATTTTTGGCCCAAAACACAGCCTCAGCGCTGATGAAAGTATACGGCGATAGACCTCCACATTTGGTCAGGAAGTTAACAGCGCTTCACAACAAGTCAAACCAATTATTAATATTTCAATCAAATGATAGTCAACTGAGTTATAAATACTTTTTCTTCATGGCCTCTATTATATCCGAATGCGACGAATGAATGGTTAATCTCTTTGTCGTTTCATTGCTCTCAAACTGGTCCTCATTTGAAGCTAATTCGCTCTCAATTATTGGCGATTTACAGGCCATTGTTGAGACCATACAGCCGTCCACTTCATCGCAATCTATAGCTTTATCACTGATGTTTAGGTGTAATCTCTGAGTAGCCGTGGGTTTTGGTGGTTGCGACGATTGGCTAAGAATTATGTTATCTTTAAAGAGTGATCCGTCGCTTACATTAATATCTAAGGGTTGAGACATTCGGTTGGTATTGGTTTGTAAGGCCTGCAACTGAGCAGAACTCGAACTGAACCGCCTGTTCGTCAACTGAGAGGTCGTATTCTTTTTGTCCGATTTAACGATAGGTTTGCGGAAATTAGCCGGTCTTCTGATTCTGTTAATCATTTCCAAGAATTTAATGAATCCCTCCTGTAATTGGATCTTCTCTTCTTGTGTGAAGTCGTGATAGAGATCGCAGGGATAGTCGTCTTCACCGGACAGATACTTATCGATAATAGTCTTCGTGGACTGCATGGACGGCAACATCAGGAGCCGAAAGCGCCAATACTTGAGATTCTCTCGAAGATCGTGCTCATCGGCCTTAAGACACGTGTAGTTATCTAAGTCTGAAATACAATATAAATGATTAGACAGTGAATAAGACACAGAATGGTAGGAATGGCATACAATTCCATTTATATGTCTCCAGTTTCTCACTCGTGAAGTCAACCCAAGAGACTCCATAAGTCTCATTGTCTGGGGTTCTGATACGATAACAGTAATGGATTTTAATGACGGGATATGGATGTCTCGGGTGATAATTCTTAACATAAATGGTTCTCTCATCCAATTTCAATTCGTGGAATATTCTTCCGATACTCATCGCGTATTCATATTTCTCAAGAGGTTTGCCAATAATGGATTTGACTTTTGATGAATTTGGCAATAAAATGATCTGAAATCCCTGTTGTAATCGCTGACAAATTAGCTCCAAATAGACCTGAACTGTGGACAATGGCTGATGATATTTGGCGTCGTCATCACCTCTATAACAACGCTGTTGTAAACGATCGGCGCTCTGGTCTTCGGGCAATAGATTATAGCTATACGTCACGTAATCCTGTTGTAGAGTCCGGGTGTCGGGCAAGAAGTCTGTCGCTGATTGCAAATAATTGTAAGTAAAAGTAAAATTCAAGTAAAATATATGAATTATAATGAAAAGTTTGGGAACAAATATATCCAAGGTAAATATTATTACAATATATAATATTTGGTAAACTTACTGACAGGCAAACAGGCGGGCATTACTAATGATTTCCAATCGACACCAGTGGTGATAGCGGGCGTCCACTCCTGTTCACCGGTCGCCCCCCACGCCCACAACAGACTCTTGTCTGAGTGAACTGATGACAAATTCTTGGACGACTCGCTTCCCAATCCTATAGATGTGGTTCTCGTTTGAGACACTTTTGTGGTCTTAAAGCTTTCGCTCAGATTTGGAGCATTCGTTATGTTCTTAAACATCGGTTTCTTTTCGTTTGTATTCCACGGATATTCAGAGGACTTCATCTGAACAATAGATATCTTGCGATCGGTTGGATCTCTCGAATCGCCGACAGTAAGGGATGAGTCAACACAAGCAGCTGATGGTAATAGAGTGCACGCCTGGTTCTGGGGCACAGCCTATTTCACATGCAATGGTTAATATACGGTACTATTGTATCTGGAAAATAAACTGTAGACCTGGTAGTGATGCTGTTGCATGAATATACCCGTCGGACCCAATGGGAACACATGAGTCCAACGTCTTCTGTTTGAGTTGAGTTTAATGGTGACGTGCGAGGGGTCGAACCTAAGTGAGTCATAGATTACCCTGGATCAATATCAATTTAAATTCATTAATATAATTAAGTAATGAATTTACGGATTTATCAGAGCTTTGGATTTTAAGATATCCTTTGCATAGTTAGTACTACTATAGCCCCTAACCATCAAATCGTCTTTTGATTCCGGTTTGAATTTATTCGATAGATTCACGTCTTAATTGATTTCAAATTCAAATTAATCACTGCTTCATAAATCAAACCAAACGCTCATACCTTTAAATGTTTTGTTTTCGTTCACAGAAGTAGACAATTGAGTCAAATATCCCTGAATTGGACTCAAATGACTTCTATAGCGAGCCATCGATGGAATTTCCATTGACTCTGATTTTGTGGGAGAATTGGGCGGAGTATTAGTGCAAACGGACAGTTCATCTAAGATTTGAGATGAGCGTCGAATCGGTCGTGAAGACTGAGTTGTCATAACAGTGTTTCGCCGAATAGTGGGCTGACATGTGGTACTCAGCTCTGAATATATTGATAACATATTTTAGTGCCAATGCATTAGCAATGTGTTTAATTAGCTATAAGTGAAAGAGTGGACAGACTGTGAGAAGTGGTGTTTGGCGGAGACGACGCTATTTTGAAGACTTGAGAGTCGTATTCGTCGTAATCAACGAAAGCTATATTGCGATACGACTTGATATCAGAGGGAGATTCACGACTCGGCGACCGATATATCTGCGAATGGCTCGTCTTTAATGGGTTTTTGAGCAAAACATTGGGTAATTTAATGCGCGGAACAAAATTGGTATAACTTATAGGTTTAGATGAGGAGTAAAAGCTATAAAAGGGATGAATTGAATGAATGGATGATTGAATGAATGAGTGATGACGGGAGTGGAGACAGACCTCAAATTGATCCAATGAGGCATATTGTACTGGACATCACTCATGTTGGCGTACTTCGGAAAATTGAATTTCGCGTTAAACTGTTTCACAAATTAGTTATTAGTAAATAAATACTTAATTCTCTTAGATTACAAATTACCTTAAATAAGGGAACGGCATGTAAGGGCTGTTCTCCCAAACAAACCAAATCACTTCCAATACCTATTTGAATATAAATTATTTTGTAAAACACATAATTTAACGAAACTTCATTCAAACCGTTATCTATTATTCGTTGTTTCGTAATATTAGTTAAATCTAAGTCCACTTCATAGACACCAACTCCTGGAGATATGACAACAGATAACTGACCGGTTCTGTCAAAACTACGGTCCAAATGATGTCTTTCAAAAACTGAAGGAATAAAAGTGTTAAAAGCAATACATTGTATTGATATGACTATGAAATACCATTTAAAGACATATTAAGGACTTCGAGAAAGTTTCCCTGCGATGAGGACGAGTTGTAGGCTAAACTCAAATACGATAATTGTGACGATCATAACGTATTATAAATGACACGTGGATTAGAGGATTAGATACCTGCGGGTACTTTGAGGCCCTGTTTCTCGTGATATTTGACCACTTGGTTCTCGTATTGATTAAAAAGTCTTCGCAGGAAAATAAGTGTTGCACTCCAGTCGTCAACCCTTTCATTCTGAACGGCGACCCTATAGTAGTCCTCATAGAAGCGACCCTTTGAGTCCTGTTGAAGACATTCGCGCATCGATTCGGGAAAGTCTTCGATGGAAAAGGCGTCGAAATAAGTGCGCGAAAACATTACGATTGTCACATCATGTGAACAGTTAAAGCGCTTTGAGACACGAAATCAACAAATTAGCAAATAATGCAAATTAACACATAATTAACACATAATTATAAAACAATTGAAAGACTACTAGATTTGTAGATATTGTATATAAGGATCAGTTGAATGGCTGCAATACATGCACTCATGGCTTATACGGCGAATCAATACTTACTTTCCATTTGTCGAAGAGATCAGAAAGGAATCCATTGACGGCTTTCTCGAAATAGAGGTCACCATTGATATCGTAGTCCCACATCTCGGAACTCATCTGAAGGAACAGATAGACCATAGAAGAGGCCGATCTGAACACCACTTTGGTCTGATTGTTGACATAACCGGAGGCCACTCGCTCTCCCTGTGACCACATCTCAAACACCTGACACCGGACGTTACAGAACTCGAGCTTTTGATTCAAGTAAACGCATGTCTTCGAGAGGTCTCTCTTGAGTCTCCACATATCGCTTCTGGCGATGTACTGGTCTTTGAAGAAGAGTTCCACCGAATCCAAGACCACGTCTTTCTTCTCCACTCTATTCACGATTACATCGCAATATATCCTCAACTGAAAGGTGGAGACAATGGTCTGCTCTATACTGATCTTCTGGTTCTCTTTGCCATCGCGCGGGTAGTCCTCAAAGGCTCGCGGATTCACTCGCATTAGGAGACGACTGAAATGGACATCATTTCATGAAACACATCAACGCATCCATCAATCCATACCTGAAGTGATCGTCTGGTGAGTAGATCTCAATGATGTCACCGACTCGGAGGTGAGGGAACTCCTTCTGATTGATCACCAGATCCTCTGATAAATGCATTCAAATTCACATCAAATAACAGTCACTTCTAGACATGACATACCCTTAAAGAAGTCTTTTTTGTGGACATTTAGTTTGTATGTCTTCATTGTGTCTTAAGTTACAATCAATTGAACACTTGATTGTCTGATTGTGTCCTCAAATCACAATTAAATGTCATTTCAATGCAAACAAACAAATCATATGTTTCTGTGTTTACAAAACAATGTATTACTCATTGATTCACAAATTACGGCTCAATTACTTGAGATTCTGGTTTTGTAACCACAATATGTCATAAGATTCTGGTGTATGTCTGTTGTACCAGAATCTGGTTATATCTCTAGTATTAGAATCTGGTTATGAGATACTGATTATGACTTTTGTATCAAATTTTCATGTCTATTGCTGTATATTCTTACAGTAACTTATATTTATTTTTATGTTTTTTATTTAAATTTATAATTAAATTTTAAAAGAATTATTAAAAGAATTAGATTTACTATAAATTTGAGTGAAAACTCATATAAAATAATAACAAATACTATAAGTTATATTGATTTGCGTACAATTCTGTCCATTGTATAGCATTGTACAGTAATGTGCACTAAATATTGGCAGTTTATTGAAAATAAATTCATATTTAAGTTAACAATCAGTAAATAATAGATCCAAACGATGAATAGTCAATAAATCCAAGCGCAGGGCACCCATTGGGCTGAAGTGTTGATCCGATTAAAGGCTTTCTCCACCAATTTTACTGTCTCTTCGATATCATTATTAATGACACAAAAGTCGAAGAAATGTTTGTAAATGTTTTCCAATAACTGACTCTCACGGGTCAAACGCTGTAGACTACCGTCCTTCTAGAAAGTTGTATATATTATCACTAATGTATCATTATCAAGGTAATTTGTATATCATTTTCATTATTTATTGCTTACATCTTCAATATTATTGATGGCATTTGGGGCCGCAATGTATACCACGAATGGACTAAACTCTCGTGTTCTCAATATTTTTAAAGCCTTTTATGTATTAAATATTACAGAATAAATACCACAGAATATCGCATAAGAAATACTTGTAATATTGTACACAGTATACAGTATTATATAAATTAATGACAAACCTGTGGCTCAACGTCCAGAATAGGTATGCGATCGCTGAGTATGATCTGACGGATTGTCTCGATTTTGGTGCCATAGAGCGCATCCTTATGACTGCCGTACTCTAGATATTGATTGGAAGCGATCTCTTCAATCATCTGCTCGTGAGAGACAAAGAAATAGTTTTCCGTTGTTTCTCCTCTTCGGGGAACTCTTGTCGTGTCTTTGAATTACAAGAATTTAGTCAATACTTGTGTGCATTTGTTTCACAACTATTTCTATAACAATATATCTCACGTGGAATTGGATAGGAATACCGGTGCGGTAAGTGACTAATTAGAGTGTTCTTTATATTCCTGCGTCCGATGCCATGAGCGCCAAGAAGTACAAGAGTTTTGCGACGAAATGACGGCACGAATACCACCTCTTCATAGGAAGGGATGTCAAACGAATCGAATAATGCATTTCTTTTGACCAAATATTTGTCTTTTCTCTTCTTTTTGCCGAAGAAAGTGCAGTAATTCGCGCCCTCTTTCCTGTCCTTCTCATTTGCCTCGTGAGAGGCCCGCCATTCCACCAGTTCTGGTGATGGTATGAGTCCTGCCGACCCTTTTTCACCCTCTTTCCTCGATTGCCACCAATAGTAGTCGTCTTTACAAATCACTTCAAGAATATCTCCCGTATACTTCCATTCCGGCCGGAGTTGTGATCCCTAGTCGAGTAGCAGAAACCCTAACATTAGCTTAACACGGGATTTCACTCAGACTCCATGTTTTGTAGCCAGAAATTAATAAAATTGTATTAAAGGGAATAAATGTCAAATAACTGGAAAGCATTCACTTTAAACTTGCAGTTCATTAGGAGACAAATACCTCGCACTGGGAGGGATGGGTTCTTTGGCGACCATTTGGCAAAATTTTGAATGAAAATAGATTTCCTTTGGAATCCCTCTGTAAAGGCAATGATTAATACTAATGATGAATACAGTTATTAATATTTAATTTGGATACAAACCAGAAGTGTTTGTAAGCTCTCAACCGATTGATTAGAGACCGGAATCCCATTAACAGATCGGATCACATCTCCCACATGTAAAGTGCCTGAAAGACATGTCACATAAAGTATACTTATGTTATTAGATATTAATAGATAAGTAAGTTTATGGGACAGATAGTTGCTCAGGAGGCTCGTAATGGGCACTCTGGTATGTGGCCGGGGTGAGCAGGTCGAATTCCCACTATGGGTTGGGCTCATTGGAAGTCTTCTGGAACTGAACTAATCTAAAAGGAGTCACATTATCGTCGATGTCATGACTGGAAACGCTATTTTCTAATGGGTTTGAATCACTTGAACAGTCGTATGTGGACTCATTCACAAGAGTGTCTGATATCATATCATGAGTTCGCAGTAACGCCTAAATGACAAGAAAATGCTTAAATACCACTTTTAAGTAAGTATTTTATAAATACTTGTATATAAGGAGAAAATAAAATATCTAATAATTCGGTAACTGTTGTGTCAGAAGTGGCCAAAAGTGGAAGACTTTTTACTATATTTAAGACCTATTATAAAGAAATGTTGTAAATAAATAAATATTCAAAATTGTTTATATAAGTTATCATTAGTAAAACCTCTTCATATGACTCATAGGCACTGAATTCAGGAATAGATAGCTTCCATCCCTTTATTGATTTCGATATTAAGTCAAATATCTATTTACAAAATAAAGTATTCATATAAAGAATTTATAAAAATATTTATACAATATAATTAAATTTGATACCTTAAGGAATTTATTAAATTTTATATCGTTTAAAATTAGATCCATGATAAAATCTTGTCGTGAATTCATACTTGAAATGCTAATAACTTTATCCAAGCAATCAAAAACATCCAAAACACCAGCTATATAATTTTATATTGATTAGATTTATTCAACAAAATTGTTTGAAATTTAATACCTAATAGCGGATACTCTTTGTCCTCAAATTTAAAGTTCATGTTTTGATCAAATTTCTCAGTCTTTGTTTACTTGCTTTATAAAAAGACATTTCAATTCAGTAATATCATGATTATCACCTGATGTTTACTTACGAACCATATGGAATTCTTACGAATATCACAATATAGAAGAGTAAAGAAGTTAACAATTCATGAGATGTGTTTTTCTTGTGAATAACTCTTTTTGCTATTCAATTGAATTAATATTTTAGTATTAATTATAATAATAGGTATGCCATAAGAGACTAACAGAAAGCCATTTATGATTTAGAACTTCTAGAGCAGTGATTCGTGAGTTTGCATTTGGTTTAAGCATTTTGAGCACCAGTTCCTTAACAATATCACTTATGCTGTTCCATATTTTCTCCTCAATCTATTAAACAAAGTCTGAATTAATTTGTTGTTTTCACTTAACATATGATTAATACTGAGAAGAAGTCGATTTGTGGGTCGAAGTGGAGGGAAGATCCGCACAAAAGTGTGAGCAGTAATATCCCGCAGCTGTAAATGTCGGAGCATTTCGTGAATAATGCCTTCTCTTGACTCAATTCTGGAGCCAAATAGGGATTGGATAGAGAATTGAATAAATTGTTTTTCGTGTAGTATTGGACAGGACTTTGTTGGAAGTGATTCTGCATTA